AAAAAAAAATTGTCGCTAAGAACCAAATTTTCCAATAAGAAAACATTTTCAGTAACTGAGAATGACTTTTTCCTATAGGGAACAACATTCTCAATGCCATTTTCTTATTGGAAAAAACAGGTTATTACTGTTTTTTTTTTAAATTCTCTAGCAAATTAAAAAGGCGTGGTTTTTTAAAGAATCATCAGAGGCTATAGGCGTGGTTTTTTAAAGAATCATCAGAGGCTATAGGCGTGGTTTTTTAAAGAATCATCAGAGGCTATAGGCGTGGTTTTTTAAAGAATCATCAGAGGCTATAGGCGTGGTTTTTTAAAGAATCATCAGAGGCTATAGGCGTGGTTTTTTAAAGAATCATCAGAGGCTATAGGCGTGGTTTTTTAAAGAATCATCAGAGGTTATAGGCGTGGTTTTTTAAAGAATCATCAGAGGCTATAGGCGTGGTTTTTTAAAGAATCATCAGAGGCTATAGGCGTGGTTTTTTAAAGAATCATCAGAGGCTATAGGCGTGGTTTTTTAAAGAATCATCAGAGGCTATAGGCGTGGTTTTTTAAAGAATCATCAGAGGCTATAGGCGTGGTTTTTTAAAGAATCATCAGAGGCTATAGGCGTGGTTTTTTAAAGAATCATCAGAGGCTATAGGCGTGGTTTTTTAAAGAATCATCAGAGGCTATAGGCGTGGTTTTTTAAAGAATCATCAGAGGCTATAGGCGTGGTTTTTTAAAGAATCATCAGAGGCTATAGGCGTGGTTTTTTAAAGAATCATCAGAGGCTATAGGCGTGGTTTTTTAAAGAATCATCAGAGGCTATAGGCGTGGTTTTTTAAAGAATCATCAGAGGCTATAGGCGTGGTTTTTTAAAGAATCATCAGAGGCTATAGGCGTGGTTTTTTAAAGAATCATCAGAGGCTATAGGCGTGTTTTTTTAAAGAATCATCAGAGGCTATAGGCGTGGTTTTTTAAAGAATCATCAGAGGCTATAGGCGTGGTTTTTTAAAGAATCATCAGAGGCTATAGGCGTGGTTTTTTAAAGAATCATCAGAGGCTATAGGCGTGGTTTTTTAAAGAATCATCAGAGGCTATAGGCGTGGTTTTTTAAAGAATCATCAGAGGCTATAGGCGTGGTTTTTTAAAGAATCATCAGAGGCTATAGGCGTGGTTTTTTTAAAGAATCATCAGAGGCTATAGGCGTGGTTTTTTAAAGAATCATCAGAGGCTATAGGCGTGGTTTTTTAAAGAATCATCAGAGGCTATAGGCGTGGTTTTTTGGTTTTTTAAAGAATCATCAGAGGCTATAGGCGTGGTTTTTTAAAGAATCATCAGAGGCTATAGGCGTGGTTTTTTAAAGAATCATCAGAGGCTATAGGCGTGGTTTTTTAAAGAATCATCAGAGGCTATAGGCGTGGTTTTTTAAAGAATCATCAGAGGCTATAGGCGTGGTTTTTTAAAGAATCATCAGAGGCTATAGGCGTGGTTTTTTAAAGAATCATCAGAGGCTATAGGCGTGGTTTTTTAAAGAATCATCAGAGGCTATAGGCGTGGTTTTTTAAAGAATCATCAGAGGCTATAGGCGTGGTTTTTTAAAGAATCATCAGAATCATCAGAGGCTATAGGCGTGGTTTTTAAAGAATCATCAGAGGCTATAGGCGTGGTTTTTTAAAGAATCATCAGAGGCTATAGGCGTGGTTTTTTAAAGAATCATCAGAGGCTATAGTAATAAATTTATGAATATGAGTTATTTAAAAAGATTTGTTGAAACAAATTTTTTAGGCGTAGATTTTTCAAAAAAAAAAAAATACTTTTTAAAAAACATTTCCGACTGCCACATTTTTTGCTTGTTGAAAAGCCTGATTTTTTTTTAAATCTTAGGGTGTAAACCCAATTTCTTCGTCATCATAATTTCCTTTAATATTCCTGCTCCCAAAAATATTTTGTTCGCATGCCAATTAGACTTTTAAGCTAGAGACAATAAGTTGTGTGCCCAATAAATATTAAACTTTGTGTAATTATTGTTTTCTTTATTATTTCCTCCAGCAATTTAACTTCTAAGCAAAGTAATTATCTTTTGCGAAGCGTGTACTTTTAAGAATACACTCTCAGCAATTTTAAATAGCATAGAACAGAGTAAGTTGAAATGACTAACATTTTAATTCTTTTGTTTATAACTTTGTTGTTTGTGTGTGTGTGAGTGTTTTCTTAAGAACAATTCTTGTTGAAAGAATAATTATTTTATTATTTCATAAACCAAAAAAAAAAAAATTGCTTAAGAAAACAAATGAATGAATGAAACAAACTTGTTGACTCGTGGTGTTATTTACATATAGCATGAAGACATGACATTTAACAAGTATATGAAATATTTCAGACAGTGGAACAAAAAAAAAAAAAACGTTGGCTTAAAGAAATTGAAGACAGTAATAATTCTAAATTTATTTATATTTCAAAGTGGGTACAAATTCCAGACCTTAATCCATAATCCTTCTTAAAAAATATTTCTTAAAAGTTAACAGGTCCCACTGTAGATTAGTGTGAAAATTATGAACTTCTTTGAATGTCGCATATATATTTTTTTTTGGTTTTGTTTATTTGTTTTTATGTCTTTTGTCATTTTCAAATGCTAATTTCAGGTGGCAATTGGGTTAAGGAATTTCTTAGCTTCATGAACAATTCAGTTTTTTGTGTACAATTACGCTCATATATGGTGATTTTTGTATATCCTTCAACACACTGTGGTACAACATGGCCTCGCTACCGTAGTCGCTGCAGCTCAATGCGACAGACTATGTCGATGTCCGCGTATAAATTGTAAAGCTGGTGGAATGTGTCGATGTGTTTTTCGTGGATTTTTTCCAGGATTTGGCGCAGAGTGAAAATCTGGTAAATGGTGGATTTGCCAGGTCTGAAGCGACATTGGTATGGTCCAATAATGTAATTGACCATTGGCTTCAGTCGTTCACACATCACACTGGATATCACTTTATATGCGATGGGAATGAGGCTTATTCCTCTATAGTTGGCACATATCGTCTTGTCTCAGTTTTTGTGCACGGGACACAGGATGCTGAGGTTCCAATCATTGGACATGCATTCCTCTAGCCAAATTGTACTAATCAGCTGGTGCATGCTCCTTACCAGCATCTGACCACCAGTCTTGAATAATTCGGCTGGTAACCCATCGGCTCCTGCTGCTTTATTGTTCTTGAGTCGATTAATTGCTTTTATGACCTCATCATGGCTAAGTGGTATGCACTCTATACCATCATCTCTTATTGGTTCTGGGGTATCCACTTCACTGCTATTATTTGATACCAGAAGTTTTTCAAAATGCTCCTTCCAGATCCTCAGCAGGAGGATGTGCCTGCACCAAAGCCTTCGGTTTGGTGTTTTACCCGTTGGTAAAATTTCGCCCAACTTCATTCAATGGTCCTGTAAAAGATTCTATAACCTTCACGTTTTTCATGTTTTTTCTGAAAACACGTTTCGGCCTCTCTCCTTTTCTCCCGATAATTCTCCATTACATTGTTTGCTACTGCCTACAGGATTTCCTATACGCCTGAAACTTTTTAAAAAAAATGTTTAAAAAAATCCACGCCTATGAAACTTTATTAAAAAAAATGTTTAAAAAAATCCACGCCTATGAAACTTCTTTAAAAAAATGTTTAAAAAAATCCACGCCTATGAAACTTCTTTAAAAAAATGTTTAAAAAAATCCACGCCTATGAAACTTCTTTAAAAAAATGTTTAAAAAAATCCACGCCTATGAAACTTTATTAAAAAAAATGGTTAAAAAAATCCACGCCTATGAAACTTCTTTAAAAAAAATTTTAAAAAATCCACGCCTATGAAACTTCTTTAAAAAAAATGTTTAAAAAATCCACCTTTGCCTATAAAACTTTTTAAAAAAAACTTTTTAAAAAAATAAAACTTCGTTTTAAAAAATCCACGCCTATGAAACTTCTATAGAAAAATGTTTTAAAAAATCCACGCCTATGAAACTTTTTAAAAAATCCACGCCTATAAAACTTCTTTAAAAAAAGTTTTAAAAAAATCCACGCCTATGAAACTTCTATAGAAAAATGTTTTAAAAAAATCCACGCCTATGAAACTTCTATAGAAAAATGTTTTAAAAAATCCACGCCGAAAGTAAAAAATCAACCTCATGTCTTTTTAAAAAAAGTTTTTAAAAAATGGAGCCTAAAAAATGTTTTCCCCGCCTTCCGATTTTTGCGTTTAAAAAAAGCAGAATTTTAATTAAAAAAATCCACGCCTATGAAACGTTTAAAAAATCCACGCCTATAAAACTTCTTTAAAAAAAGTTTTAAAAAATCCACGCCTATGAAACTTCTTAAAAAAAATTTTAAAAAAATCCACGCCTATGAAACTTCTTTAAGAAAAAAAGTTTAAAAAAATCCACGCCTATGAAACTTCTTTAAAAAAACGTGCGCACAAAAAATCCACGCCTATGAAACTTCAAATTTTCAAAAAAATGTCCTTAAAAAAAAAAAATCCACGCCTATGAAACTTCGTAAAAAAATTAGCGTGCTTTGGTTTAAAAAAATCTATTTTCTTAAAAAAAATGTTTAAAAAAATGTAGGTATGGGTTTTAAGAAAAAAAATCCACGCCTATGAAACATCTTTAAAAAATGTTTTAAAAAAATCCACGCCTATGAAACTTCTTTAAAAAATTGTTAAAAAAAATCCACGCCTAAGAGCCTACCAAGAGTCTAAAAAAATTGTTAAAAAAAATCCACGCCTATAAAACTTCTTTAAAAAATGTTTAAAAAATCCACGCCTATGGAACTTCTTTAGAAAACGTTTCGATCACGCTTTTTCAATTTATAAATTCTTGTCTTCAGTTTGTTTTCCATTCATTCTTCATTTTTCTTCACATCATAAAAATTAACGTTATATTTTCTGATTTTCTTTTTGTTGTTGTCTTGTCTCTATTTTTTTCTAAACTGTAAAGCGATAATCTAGTGTTTGATTTTGCTTTCATTTCCTTACCATTTGTTCTAATTTCATTAAATAAGACATGGCATGATTGTCAGCCAATTGTTTTAAAGATGTCTCCATGGCCAATAAAACTCACACGCACATAAACACACAAACACTTATACCCAAATTAAATTTATAAAAAAAAACACTACAACAATTTTTAGAATTTCATTTGTTATTGTTGTATTATGAAATTTATTGTTTGGCTGATCATTTCACTTGTTGTTATGCATGATGGCCATGGCAAACAAAAGACTTAAGACACAAACGTGAGCACACACAATAGATGAACTTTTTTTGTTGTGTGTGGCTTCCGTTGTTTAGAATTTTTTATTTATTTTTGACACTTTTATTTATTTAGAATAAAAATAACAGGAATTTCTTTGTTAGAATTTTTTTGCAAAACACTCTGATTTTTTTTTGTCGAAATAAACCACCGAAATCCCGCTTCCACGTTGCGTTACGTTCGAAAGTCGAAAACATTCTCACATTAGAATCTCCGTTTAGAAAGTAAGCAATCAATGGACCAAAAAACACAAAACGTTACAAAAATGCCAACAAACGAATTAGTTCAGGTGAGCAGAACTCAGCTGAGTTGAGCTGAGCTGTTTTGGCTCATCTCTTCTTAGATGGAATTATGCCAAATCAAGGCATCCCGTATAAAACATAACATCCAGGTTGGATGACTGGCTGGCTGGATGGTTGGACATCAGCCGCACCGCACCACCAAGTGCCAGAATTTTTTCTCCTCAAACGGTGATTATGGAAAAAATCTCCTCTACCTCCAGAAGGAGAGTAACTGAAAATCTGAAAGACTCGTGGCGAGTAAAGTAAGTAACTAAGTTTAGTCGTCTTCTTTTGGTGAGCGTTGATGTTTGTTGTTGTTGGATTTTCTAGTTCTTTGGCATTCTCTTGATTTGCTAACAACATCATTATGTGGCTCGGTGATTATCAAAGTGGGCTCTCGATGTTCTGTTCCAAATGAATGCCTGCTAGGTTGGCTGCTAGCCGTTCGCTGAGCCAACTAGAATGCTGTTGATATGCTTTGAGATATTTTAGACTTTCTTTCCTACGTTGGCAATCAAATCATGTGGAAAAAAATCTAGTCACACTAATAGTGTTGGCCGGACCAAGCGATCGATCGAACAAGCAACCAACCAATTGATCGATCTAGCGGCTAAAAGTGACGTTATAACAAAAAAAAAAAATGACAGATTGTTTGAAAGAGAGTTCTAGGCGGACATAACAAAGTAATTTGGTGATTTATTGACAAGGAAGGAAGTGGGAGTCATTAAATTACTTTTAGATTGTCATATAATGAAGAGTCGTGGATTTTTTAAATAATTTTTTGAAGCATCCAAAAGTGATGGAGGCGTGGATTTTTTAAATAATTTTTTGAAGCATCCAAAAGTGGGGTATAGGCGTGGATTTTTAAATAATTTTTTGAAGCATCCAAAAGTGGCAGAGGCGTGGATTTTTTGAAGCATCCAAAAGTGAAGAAGGCGTGGATTTTTTAAATCATTTTTTCAAGCATCCAAAAGTAGGCGTGGATTTTTTAAATCATTTTTTGAAGCATCCAAAAGTGATGGAGGCGTGGATTTTTTAAATCATTTTTTGAAGCATCCAAAAGTGATGGAGGCGTGGATTTTTTAAATCATTTTTTGAAGCATCCAAAAGTGATGGAGGCGTGGATTTTTTAAATAATTTTTTGAAGCATCCAAAAGTGATGGAGGCGTGGATTTTTAAATAATTTTTTGAAGCATCCAAAAGTGATGGAGGCGTGGATTTTTTAAATAATTTTTTGAAGCATCCAAAAGTGATGGAGGCGTGGATTTTTTAAATAATTTTTTGAAGCATCCAAAAGTGATGGAGGCGTGGATTTTTTAAATAATTTTTTGAAGCATCCAAAAGTGATGGAGGCGTGGATTTTTTAAATAATTTTTTGAAGCATCCAAAAGTGATGGAGGCGTGGATTTTTTAAATAATTTTTTGAAGCTTAAAATATTTTTAAATATTTTTTTTAATCTACGTTTGTATATTGTCTTTCAAAAATATGTTTTAACAATGCACTTATATAAATTGTTTTTTTTTAGAACAAAATCGTGCCTTATTTTTTGGTTTCATCTCATCAAAATTCTCTCTCACTCTCTGTACCCATAAAGTTTGTGTGTTAAGTCTTTTGTTTAAATACTTGCCTTAGGAAGAGTCTATCTCCATAATAGAAAAAACACCTTGGATGTCATAATTTATAAAAACATAATGTTTTAGGAAATCCCCTTTTTTCAAAATAAATGACATAAATTCCCAAAAGGAAAAAAGTAAAAAAAAGAAATACAACTCAAAAATTCTAAGTATTCTGCGGTGTTACATAACGGCATAGAAGAGCTCTTTTTTATTGTGAAATCATTTTCCACATCTCAGCAACTAAATTTTTCTCTCCTTTTTTATTTCTAATCTCTTTTGTGGTTAGCGATGAACTCTTTAAGATTATTTGTGCTGCTGGCCAACAATGACAAGGCAAGTTGGGCCCCACCTCTTTTTTTCCATGGCTGAAATCCCAAAATGGAATGAATGAAGTTATTAAAGGAACAGTGCATTTCTTAACGGACAAAGGCACTCCAAACAGCGTCAACGTTAGAAAAATGGGTTGGCTTTTTTTCTTTGTAATCGTTTGTTAAGATTTCTTAGGAAATAGAAAAATAAAAGAATAATAAAAAGAAACAACAAAGAGTGCAGCTCAGGAAGTTGAAATTGCACACTAAAGACTTGAAACACAAAAAAATCGAAAAGTCAGTTGAATAAATTTAATGAATGAATGAATTAAAATATGTTCAGTATTCAAAAACAGGGCGTTTACAGCAAATTTTCATAATGACATGGCGCCCTACAGCGTTGGAGATGGATACACACATTTAAAGTTTATCTAGTTCTCTAAATTTGACTTATTACATTTTTAGGCCTTTGGGTCTATTTCTAAAAAAGTGGGAAATATGGACTAATTTGAAATAGGATTTATAAAGCTTGAAAGCCCCCTTTCCCCTAACCTGTTATTATTTTTGCATATCGTAAAAAAAGCATTTTAACGGAAATTGCCTTGCATTTCTTTTTGTTCGTTTGGCTTACCAAGCCATTTCATGGCATAAATGAATTATGTAATAAACATAAAAGTGTTGTTGTTTTTTTTATTGCTTACTATCTTACACTCTCTTCTCACAATCAAAGTTTATGAAGCAGTTATTTTTTCTTTTTCTTCTTTATATCATTTAAGGTGTCGGATGTTTTTTGTTTTCCCCCCCTCGTTCAAGTTTGACTTGTTACAGAGCTCCGCCGTTTTTTTATTGGTCCCCCTTAAATGTTCAAATTTAACATAATTTTTTGTAATAATAAAAAAAGGGAACAACAACACCGACAAATTCGATGATAATTTTAATTAGAGCATAAAATCTTTTCTTGTACTTCTCATCGTTAAAAAATGATAGCGAGTGTGTGTGTGTGTCATAAATGGGGAATTTTTTTGATATGATATGGTATATCTTTTAGTGGCTCAGTGAAAGAAGAATATATATTTTTTAATGATTGGGAAATGTGTTTCATTTTCGCATAATTTTCACATTTATATTCGGAGTTTACAGCAGCGAGATAAGGGAGTAATTTGGGAAAAAATCAGGTGATATGTGGAATTGGTATAGTATTGGTATCTAAAAATAAAAAAATAAAAACAAAAAATTATGGACAAAAGGAGTTTAAATGCATCACGGTAACAGATCTATAGATCTGTTGGAAACAAACGCCATTCGGAATGAAAGGAAGACATTTCATAGACCTTCTATACACAGAAGATCCACTATAGAGCTTCTGTAGACAGAGAACCTTCTAAAGGCCTTTGGGATCTTTGAAGATCAGAGGTAGGGTGGATTTTAAAAATAATTTTTTAAAGCATCCCTCAAACTTTTTTTTTTCAATTTTTAAAGCAAAGTGGTGGAGGCGTGGATTTTTTAAATAATTTTTTGAAGCATCCAAATGTACTGGAGGCGTGAATTTTTTAAATAATTTTTTGAAGCATTCAAAAGTACTGGAGGCGTGGATTTTTTAAATAATTTTTTGAAGCATCCAAAAGTACTGGAGGCGTAGATTTTTTAAATAATTTTTTAAATCATTCAAAAGTGATGGAGGCGTGGATTTTTTAAATAATTTTTTTGAAGTACCTAAAAGTGCTGGAGGCGTCGATTTTTAAAATAATTTTTTTGAAGTATCTAAAAGTGATGGGGGCGCGGATTTTTTAAAAAAAATTTTTGAAGCATCTAAAAGTGGTGGAGGCGTGGATTTTTTAAAAAAAAATTTGAAGCATCTAAAGTGGTGGAGACGTGGATTTTTTAAAAAAAATTTTGAAGCATCCAAAAGTGATGGAGGCGTGGATTTTTTAAATAATTTTTTGAAGCATCCAAAAGTGGTGGAGGCGTGGATTTTTTAAATAATTATTTCAAGTATCTAAAAGTGGTTGAGGCGTGGATTTTTTAAATAATTTTTTGAAGCATCCAAAAGTGGTGGAGGCGTGGATTTTTTAAATAATTATTTCAAGTATCTAAAAGTGGTTGAGGCGTGGATTTTTTAAATAATTTTTTGAAGCATCCAAAAGTGACGGAGGCGTGGATTTTTTAAATAATTTTTGAGGCATCTAAAAGTGATGGATGCGTGGATTTTTTTGAAGCATCTAAAAGTGGTGGAGGCGTGGATTTAAAAAAAATTGAACCATCTAAAAGAGGTGTAGGCGTGGATTTAAAAAAAAATTGAAGCATCTAAAAGAGGTGTAGGCGTGGATTTAAAAAATTGAAGCATCTAAAAGAGGTGTAGGCGTGGATTTAAAAAAATGTAGCATCTAAAAGAGGTGTAGGCGTGGATTTAAAAAAAATGAAGTATCAAAAAGTGCGGGAGGCGTGGATTTTTTGAAAAAATTTTTGAAGCATCTAAAACTGGTGGAGGCGTGGATTAAAAAAAAATTGAAGCATCCATAAGTGGGGTATCTAAAGGCAGACAGGCATTGACTTAAAGAAAAATTTGAAGCATCCACAAGTGGGGTATCTAAAGGCAGACAGGCATGGATTTAAAGAAAAATGTGAAGTATCCACAAGTGGGGTATCTGAAGGCAAACAGGCATGGATTTAAAGAAAAATTTGAAGCATCCACAAGTGGGGTATCTAAAGGCAAACAGGCATGGATTTAAAGAAAAATTTTAAGCATCCACAAGTGGCAGGCAGGCATGGATTTAAAAAAAAAATCAAGTATCTATAGGCAGGGTAGGCCTGGAACTTTTAAATACATTTTTCAAGTATCTAAAGGCGGGAAGTTGTGTATTTTATAAAAAAATGTTTAAAGTATCTAAAATTTTAATTTTTCAAAAATGTAACGGTTTGCAATAAATCTATTTGGGACTTTGTTTGGGATGTACAAGAACGAGTAGATCGATATTTCCTGTTTCTTCCTGATTTATATTTGAATGAATAGTTCGAATAGTTCCTGATTAATATTTGAATGAATAGTTCGATGTGCAAAGTATGTATACTAGTTTTGAGACTTATGATGCGCATTAGACAGACGGAAATTTGTAAATTGACTTCAAATTGTCTGAAAAATAATTGGTTCAGATAAACAGTGAATATTTATAATAGCTTTAAGAATTTTTGTAATAGTTCTCCTATAAATGTTATCTTTTCTATGGGACTTCTAAAAACAGATGACCATTTACAATTCTCAAACCCTCCAACAATTTTTTTATCAGAAGAATTTCTTATAGAAGCTCAGAAGACCTATATTTTACCTTTTATTTATTTGATAAAGAATACGATTTATAGGTCCAGAATTTCTATGAGAACTCATCTGCAGAATATCTTTTTGATTCACCTCACCACCTTATAGGGTAGCAAATGTTCATGAATGTTGGTCCACTATTTAAGGGAACCCCACCCATTCAGATATATATCTTCAAGACTTCTTGAGATTTTCATTTTAAATTTTGTAGGGACATTCTTTAATTAGTGTAGATTCGAATTATATCAACAAAATGTTTGACCCCGAGAATGGGGGGGGGGTCCCCTTAAGTTAGCCTCAATATGCCGGTATATTGAGGGGTTTGGCTGCGTTTTCAAGCGAATTGGATGTTATTTGGTAGTTGGGTTTTATGGTAGACCTCATATCACGGGATTTTTCAACTGTATTGACTGAAATTGGGTACTATAGGTTCTCATATGGTAATAAATGTTCCTACAAAAAATTACAATATTGGTCGACTTTTTAGGGTAGCTCCTACATAATAGCACCCCCAATTTCGGCATATTGGGAAGTTTTTTTAAACAAAATCTCAACTTTGGTTAAATTTTCATTGTAGCCCCCTAATTCGGTAGTTTGGGTGAATTGGTCATAAGTGAATTGGCCATAAATTGATATTTATGTGTTCATCTGGTGTCAAATTTACTATGAGGATCGACTATATATATTAGGAATTTCCACTCAATGGTCTTCATGACCCGGTCGAATTTAACCACATTTCAACTTGTTACATATTATATCGGAGCGCTTTTACGAATGAATGTAAATGAATTTTTCTTTTTATATCCCATCGGGTTGAAAAAAAAATCAAAAGACTTAAGACACATGATTGGCATTATTACAAAGAAGTTTGTGTCTTGAGTCTTTTGTTTATTTTTTAAATTTATTTTCTCAACATTTCACCTGCAACATAGGAAATACTCCTCTGAATTCAACACTATTCGAAAATTTACACAAAAATTTTGAAACATTGTAATTCAAAATCGCTGTAAAATTTATTGCAAAAAAAAAAAAATTATGATATTGCCAACTTTTGTCAATTAGCCGATTAAAACAATTGAAACGAAATAGTCGTCGCTTAACTAAATTGGCACAATTAAGCCTAAATGCTTACAAAATCTGGAAAACAAAATAATTTCAGAACACGCACTAAAATATTCCGAAAAAAATTACTATAAATATTACAAAGTTTTCATTTTCAAAATTATTAAAGTTAGAATATTAAAACACCTAACATCAGATCAGTTTCACTTCCCAAAAAAAAGTATTAAGGAAAAAGTGCCCAAAAATGAAATTCCTAATCATATTTGCGTGTGTGCTAAGTTATTTGAGCTTCTGTATGGCTGTACCTCATCCTCCGGCAACGACTGCAGCACCCATCAAAGGTACATATGACAGTCGTTTCGATAATATCGATGTGGATGAGATACTACAACAGGAACGTCTATTGAAGAATTATGTCAAGTGTTTGGAGGGAACGGGTCCTTGCACTCCCGATGGCAAGGCCTTGAAAGGTGGGTAGAAGGAAGGAAGAAGAGCTGATTTTAATAAGTATTGACTTCGATAAAATAAATAAAATAAAACAAACTTATTACTAATAAAAATATAATAAAAACACGATCATGTACATAGAAGCCAGGGCTTAAATGATGTCCATCCACCTACAGGATGTTGTCTTTACTCCAATGGAATTTATTTAAGAATCCTTTGAAATGTATAGCCGAATTCAACAACATTCAATTTGAATGACTTTGGAAGAACCTGACTTTTCTGAAAAATTTCCCCAAATATTTGTTTTTTAATCAATCACAAGGTTTAAATAAACATAGGGCCGGACTTAACTTAATCAAATTTTTTAAGTTGTTTTTATTATTTAATTTTTAATCACATATTATTTTATTGAATTAATTATAATCACCTTGACACCTGTCCTTTATATTTTTACCTTTACCCCTATCTGGTTAATTTCTACAGACTTCTATAGACTTTTCCAATTTCAGAGACTCTACCCGACGCTATAGCGACCAATTGCGTCAAATGTACGCCCAAACAGAAGGAGGGTTCGGACAAGGTGACACATTTTCTTATCGACAATCGTCGCGAGGATTGGGAACGTTTGGAGAAAATTTACGATCCCGAGGGTACCTATCGCAAGGCATATCTGGCGGAAAAGGAGACTTCTACAACTACGAATACTAAAAACGATGATGATGGAGGTAGCAATAAATGATATTGGCTTCCAATGGCTGTGACTTTTGGCAATGTTCCAATGATTATGAGTATATATTTACTTTAAGTATATAATGATTTATATACATTATTAGAATTAAGTTAATATTTTTTAGATATAAGAACATGAAAATATATTTAAGAGAGCATTTAAAAAAAAACTTGGATCTAATGGGAAGGAGGGCTGGAAAAATATACAAAAAGGAAATTATCTGTTTAGAAGACCTGAAGAAAGCTGTTGCCCTTGGAAGAAGGACTTCTCACTTTAGAAGAGAAGAGTCCTTTAGGAGAAAAAGAGTCCTTTAGGAGAGAAGGACTGAAAACGGCTGGTATTTTTATGAGAGATCTGAGACAGGTTTTATGTTTAGAAATTACCTAAATAAGATCCTATGACTTCATGAAAGGGTGGAAGGACCTTCTTCAGGTCTTCGACTTCTCACTGTCGAAGATCTGAAGAAGGTCATTCCACCCTAATATATATGAAATATTTATAAAATCTGAAGAAGGCGATCTGGCTAAAAAACATATAGAAGATTTTCTGGCTATAGAAAAGTTCGAAGGCATTTATATAAGTAATCCTGTTTTCAAAATGAAATGCATCTCTCAATTAGCACCTGCAAGTGCGTGACCAATATAATTGTTGTTCCTGTTATCCAATCTTAATTTGTTATTAACCATATCACAACTCCTACTCAAAAATACTAAAAATAACAACAACAGCATTTCTAGAACACTCAGACCCAATTAAAACAGGTCCGGTTAATGACAGATGATGAACTCAAAATACACTTGTCTTTAAGACGAAGAACGGAATACAAAAGCCACAATGCAAGACTCGATGTAATCATGAAAACACCAACAACGAAATAAAAAACGACAATATTGAAAATAAAAATCTTGAAACATTGCGTAAATGCCAGTTTTGTAGATATGCTGCTGCTACGTAATATCTACAACTCCATTAAAAATAGACAACCAGCAGTTATGGCGGCGGCTGTGACCAAAAAACAAGTCTTTACCAACATCTCAAAAAAGAAAAAAACAGAAAAAAATTAAAAATCTGTCCAGCTTAAAGAGCCAGACGACTATCATAAAGGTGGGCTCCATGTCTGCCATGCTGCTGCTGTGTCACTTATTGGCAATTGACAATAATGAACCAATGGTCACTACCTGGCTGTCCACAACGGGCCATTGAAGCCTTGGTGTTGAATTCTACATTTTCAGTTTTAGCAGTTATTCGGCACGGTTTGTAAATCTTAAATATGGTGGAAATGTGATCAGGCGATGAACAAGCGTGTGGTGATCCAAGTTCTGCAAAATTGTATTGGCAGGTTGGGTTGCTTATGCCACTAATCGAACTCGAGCCGAGGTTTGAGGTATTACCAATTAAGGCATCAGCGGAATAAGCCGAGATTACAACAAAAGACATACATTTAAAGGAGTCCTTATAGACTCATATAAAGGAGTTTATAGACTCCTATAAAGGAGTCTTTATAGACTCCTATAAAGGAGTCTTTATAGACTCCTATAAAGGAGTCTTTATAGACTTCTATAAAGGAGTCTTTATAGACTCATATAAAGGATTCTTTATAGACTCCAATAAAGGAGTCTTTACAGACTCCTATAAAGGAGTCATTATAGACTCCTATAAAGGAGTCTTTATAGACTCCTATAAAGGAGCCTTAATAGACTCCTGTAAAGGTGCCTTTATATACTCCTATAAAGGAGCCTTTATAGACTCCTATAAAGGAGTCTTTATAGACTCCTATAGAGGAGTCTTTATAGACTCCTATAAAGGTGTCTTTATAGACTCCTATAAAGCAGTTTTTATAGACTCCTATAAAGGAGTCTTTATAGACTCCTATAAAGGAGTCTTTAGATGCGCCTATAAAGGAGTCTTCATAGACTCCTAGATAGGAGTCTTCATAGACTCCTATAAAGGAGTCTTCATAGACTCCTAGAAAGGAGTCTTCATAGACTCCTAGAAAGGAGTCTTCATAGACTCCTAGAAAGGAGTCTTCATAGACTCCTAGAAAGGAGTCTCTATAGACTCCTATACTGGAGCCTTCATAGACTCCTATAAAGGAGTCTTTATAGACTCCTATAAAGGAGTCTTTATAGATTCCTATAAAGGAGTCTTTAGATTCCTATAAAGGAGTCTTTATAGATTCCTATAAAGGAGTCTTTATAGACTCTTATATAGGAATCTTTATAGACTCCTATAAAGGAGTCTTTAAAGACTCATATAAAGGAGTATTTATAGACTCCTATAAAGGAGTCTTTATAGACTCCTATAAAGGTGTCTTTATAGACTCCTATAAAAGAGTCTTCATAGACTCCTTTAAAGATGTCTTTATAGACTCCTATAAAGGAGTCTTCATAGACGACTATAAAGGAGTCTTCATAGACTCCTATAAAGGAGTCTTTATAGACTCCTATAAAGGAGTCTTTATAGACTCCTATAGAGGAGTCTTTATAGACCTCAATAAAGGAGTCTTCATAGACGACTATAAAGGAGTCTTCATAGACGACTATAAAGGAGTCTTCATAGACGACTATAAAGGAGTCTTCATAGACTCCTATAAAGGAGTCTTTATAGACTCCTATAAAGGAGTCTTCATAGACTCCTATAAATGAGTCTTTATAGACTCCTATAAAGGAGTCTTTATAGACTCCTATAAAGGAGTCTTTATAGACTCCTATAAAGGAGTCTTTATAGATTCCTATATAGGAATCTTTATAGACTCCTATAAAGGAGTCTTTATAGACTCCTATAAAGGAGTATTTATAGACTCCTATAATGGAGTATTTATAGACTCCTATAAAGGAGTCTTTATAGTCTCCTATAAAGGAGTCTTTATAGTCTCCTATAAAGGAGTCTTTATAGACTCTTGTAAAGGAGTCTTTATAGACTCCTATAAAGGAGTCTTTATAGACTCCTATAAAGGAGTCTTTATAGACTCCTATAAAGGAGTCTTTATAGACTCCTATAAAGGAGTCTTTATAGACTCCTATGAAGGACTCTTTATAGACTCTTATAAAGGAGCCTTCAAAGGGTCATATAATGGAGTCACTGAAGTATTCTATAAATATATTTTTCTTTATACAAGTCCTGCATAGGTATCTTGAAAAAATCGGCATTTTAACATTACTTTTCTTGTGTCCCCACTGCCAATTTGAAATTTTACAACCTGTCACTTGGAAATGAAACCAACACACACGTTGCAATCGAAATTCCAAAACTGAAAAAATAACAACAACTGTATACAACTTTATTGCCTTAACATTTACACGTATAACCTGTTTCCACATTGAGATGCTGTGCCGAACATTTATGTTTTGGCAGATTTTTGCAAAACAAGATTTTATTGATGTGGCGGAAAGGAAGACAGGGTTTTTTCTGCACATGTTATGTTTTCCCTACATATTTTATTACAATGTGACAGTTATGTAATTGCAAAGAAAACAGAAATTGTGATGTGATGTAGTAGATGCAAATCTGCATAAATAATAATCATCGAAGTTAAAATGAAACCGCCACATACTTAGGGAATATTAAACTTGCATTATTTTCTAAATTTTTAAAAACAAATTGCCGAAAAAATGTATTTATTTTTTTGTTTTACAAAAGTGTACTATGGCTTGAAAGGGTAATTAAGGTTTTGGTTTAAAGTGATCTGCAGCATGAAGTGCCGTTTTGACATTTGTGCAAAAAATATTGTATTGCTATGCGATTTGAATTGCAAGATGTGTGTGCCAGTAATTTATGCAAAAAAAAAAAAAAAAACATTAATGTTTAAAATTATTTTGTTTTGCAAAACAAAACTATTTGTTAAGACCACACACGTGTTGAACGAAATATTTAAATATTCAGGTATGTGAAAAAATTATATAAAGACATTCACTAACAATTTGCAATTAAATTGGGTCATTGTTAGACGGTATGTGTGGTACTTAAGACGGCATGTGTGAATAACACAAAATAGAGCTCAGGTAGATAATTCCTCATGGACTTTCAATTACCAGGAGGAAAAACTCAAAACCCAGAAGTTCACCATAAGTCAAGTTTTGGCATAACAAATTTTTCTTGTAACTCTAAAGTGCTTGAAAAAAATCCTCATATCTTTGTTTGCAACTATTGCAGATTATTTTTGATTTGGCATGTCTGAAGTCAAATCATCTGAGCAATATTTTTGTAAAACAAAACCTCCTTCTATCTCAAGTCCTTCTGCTTATTTTTCAGGCTTATTTTCATGAAACGTAAACTAAGTGGCATAGGATGTGATTTTTTGACATGCAAATATTCTACAAAACAATCACTCATAAGATTTTATACGGGGTCACCAACGACAATAAAACGATATTCGCGTGCTCAGAAAATCCTATATCTACGAACACTAATAAATTTCGTGTAAATTGTAGGTTGAAAATGAATTATCGGATTTTTCTGATATATTTTCATTACATGTTTCTCGTCATGCTTAAGACCTTAATAAAATTTATCTTATATTCATAGCAAATTGGTCGGTAAACTAAATACCATTCACAAACAAACAGACATATGGCGAATTTGTATTTCTGGATTCTCTACAAGGGCTTTCATTCACATAAGAAGTTTTCCACCTCCCGAATATTATTCTATAACAGCAAGAATACATTTATCTCAAAAAATAGAAGGATGTTTACATACTTTGAACCATGACAAGTGTGTCTTTATAGATGATAGTTCCGGAACGAACTAGTTCATTGGAACTATTGCGATAAATGAACGATATGAACTAGACCTAGTTCCTTAGTTCATTTTTTCTGAATCGTTCGTTCCTTTATTTGATCTCGTTCCTTTTTTTTTTGATCTCGTTCCTTTCACAGATGAACAAGATCATTAGACAACAAAATATAATTTTACAAATTTCAAATATTTACCTTTGACGATTTAATCTACAATATAATAATCGCGATGTGTAACTTACCTATAAAGAGAAGAAAAAGAAATGATAATAA